AAGCTTAAAAAGTAATGTGATTCTATTGTAAAATTTGTTCAACAAATATAATTTTATCACTTACATTATTCATATGCCTAGTTTTATTTCATTTTATTCGTCGTGTACTTTACCAAATATATGTAATCAATCGTATGTTCCATAAAATTATATTCATGAAGATTCAAATGGTTGTGTACACACTTCCACTCATCTAAATAGATGAAAAATTAATAAATTTATTTAACATTTTTGTAAATATAAATGTCGCATAAGTAGATACACGAATCTCTTTTGGCCAGCAAGCAATCACGCGCAAAACATGTTTAAAATTAAAAAAAAATTCTTGGGGTGAATAATAAGAAATTGTATTGATTGTATATTGTATTTTAAGCTTCAAAGAAGACGTTTAAATTTTTTGTACATTAAAAACCATTTCCATGATACCGCTTTTGAAACCTAGAAATAGCAAAATACGTGTTATTTGGAATTTCAAGAGTTTTTTAATCAAAATTTATTAACTTTAGAGAAAAATTTGTTAAGAAATTTTTTGTTCGTTTTGATCACAGCAGCACAAAAAAAATTTTTTTCTTACGAAGTTATTGATTTTTTGTAATTTGTTAGAAAAAAGATTGTTTAAACAATTTCTGACCACATTTCCTACCAAACCGTACGTACGTCCCCATACAGTAGCGCATCTTAAACAAGATGGTGCAAAAAATTGCAGGCGAATTAATTTTCCCTGTTAATTTTTCTCTCCTTCAGGTATACGCATTCATGGATGGTAGGTACAAAAACGACTATGCTTAGATCAACAATACCGTTCTTGACAAGCAGCTAATGTTTATAAATCTTTCTTAATTTGAAAGTGCATGCTTCATGGTAAAATTTGAGCCCTGGTAAGTTACAAATAATACACCAATAGCTGAGTAACACGTGATCAAATATCGCAAAAAACACATTTTTTTAAACATTTGGAATTTTTTACTCGAAATCTGTAGGGTTTAGGTATATGCATCCCCATCGATTTTTTGTTAGAAATGGGCCAAAGAATAAGGAGAAATTTTTTTTCTCATAAAAATTAATTTTTTATAAATTGTTTAAAAAAATGCATTTAAAAAATTTCTGACCACATTTCCGCCTGGCAAACTGTACTTCCCCATGCAGTAGCACATTTTAACAAGATGGTGCAAAAAAATTGCGGGCGAATTAATTTTCCTGGTCGATTGCTGATTTCACCTCGTCTAAAATGATGAGACCTATGGTACAGGCCATTTTTTCTTTTATATAGATACAAGCGTTGGAAAAAGTAAGTGCAAAAAATCTTTTAATTTAAAATCCAAAAAACTGACTGAAATCTTTTCATTGAGAAGGTAGAAGGTACTTAGTCATAATTTTTCACAACTCACTTCAACTGCCTTTCCCCTAATGACATATATGATTTTTTCTTTCAAAATATTGTAACACACTTGTACCTTCAACCCCCCAATACAATCTAAATTATAAATTTAACAAAATTTTAAAAAGTGCACATAACACGGTTGAGTGGTGGGACGGACAGTGCAATAAAGTTCTTAAGCTAAGAAAAGTGGCCTTAAAAAATGACACTACTCTGGTGAATTATTTGATCTTATTGACTATAAAAAAAACCTGTGACATGGCCAAAAAAAACCCTTAAGCAGAAAAAGAGACTCTTTCAAACAATTTGCGTAATCTCTTAGTTTTAAGACAAATCCTACCTATGTATAAAATAAGTGTAACATTTTTAAAAATAGTGAGGTTAAAATTAAACCAAAACATGTCAAGTCTAACTTGAATCGTAATAATCTGATCAACAAATCTCTGAACAAGCTCACTCCTCTAGTTAATGACTCCTTTACTCTCTTTTTTATACCCAAATCTAATGGAGTCAGCTTTAGACCAATAGCATTAACGTCATGTCTTTATAAACTATTTGAAACTACCTTTAAATGTAGGCTTTAATGGTGGACAGAATACAATAACTTGATGCCTCCTTTACAAAATGGCTTCCGTAAAGGAACGTCCTGTCTAGACAATGTAACCCAACTCGTTTTGAAAGTTGATGAGAACTTTGCGGGGAAAAAACAAGTTCTAGCTATTTTTTCATATACCAAAGAAGCCTTTGACAAAATTATTATTGACTCGCTTTGCAGCAAACTATCAGAATTGGGCTGTCTAGCCATAATTGATGAAATAGAAAAAATTCAGTACCCAGATATTCGTATACCTCTTGATTATCGCATTACCACCCCGACTAATATTTTTCTAGTTAAATTTTCTTTCACTAGCATTAAGGATCGTTTCATCCAGTTGGGCTGTCGATTTATAACAAAATCTTGTTTATTTACAATGTTACAGGTGCAGCCAATACGGAATTACAAAGCAGAAGCTTCGACCTCGACCGGGCCTGTGTTGCCCGGATACCCTCGGTAACACTCCCTGTAAATTTTATACACAGGTCTCGTCTGCCGAGACACCACTGGGGCTAAATACCGCGGCGACCTTGACTTTTTTCACCTCTCACGACTATCGTAAACACGGTACACAGGAAATCGGATACACTATGAAATTAATACTCACTAGTAGTATTTTCGAATGAAAGAAATATATTAAATAAAATATATCAGAATACAATAACTACTCGTGGGTGTGTGTATGTGTGTGTACGTGCACGTTGAGTGGGAATGCTCGACGAACTCGCAGCGCAAACTCGCTACCCCAGCGGGCCTACGTGGGCGCTGCCCTTTACAAAAGACTACCTAGTGGCAGGTACTTACGGTTGTCGTGGGTGGCGACTTTCGACGATGCCCCGCGCAGTCAAAGTCACGCTAGAGTCGTGGAGCGGGTACGCTGAGGCCAGTAGGCGTCCCTACTGGCAACGTTCAAAGGCCGAGGTCGTTGGTGTTGGCCTTGATGATCTCGTATCTGGCGTCACCTGCTATCATAGCAGGACCAGGAGCCAACTCGCACTAAAAGGCTACGCCAGGAAATCACTCTGAGCTCCGGAACGACAAGAAGGGACACACAACCGCAAACAACCACAAAAGGAGAAAACTCCGTAAAAGACGCTTCTTGCGTAAAGAACAAGAATCGCTTCACGTGCGCTCAAAACCCCAAGCTAATCTGCCTTTCTTTGCCTTTTCTCTCTGGATCTCCTCCCTTCCTGGCCTACCTATCTCCTATACCCCTCTTTTCCTTCTTTTCATACCTGCTCTAGTCTACCGATGATGGCTTGACGATGTCACACCGTCACAATGTCAATCTTCGCTTACTCTTGCCTCAATAAAATATCACAACAAAGTCATGCAAAAAAACAACTCTTTCCCAAAGAAAGTACTCTAAATTTGTACCAATAAAATTGATAACATATCCAACAGCATTTTAAGTTGTAAAAAACCCTGCTTATATAAAGATAATTATCTAACTCTTCTTACATTAATTGAATATAACTCAAACTTTGAAAAAATTCTGGAAAACTCTGACTCCCTTAACGACCTGTTTATAGAACTTTCGTTAAAAAACCAAACTGTTAATATTTTTACTGATAGCAGCAAGTCTAAAACAAACGTTGTTTCAGCCTGCATCTGCCTTGCCTCAACCTACAAACCAGTCTGAAACTCCATCCTTAAACCTTAATTTTCTCTGTTGAATGTATCGCTAGTAACGACGCCCTGGACATCGCTCTCAATCACTTAGATGCAAAACATTTCCATTTTTACTGACTCTCTAAGTGCACTTGAATCTCTATTTTCTTCAAAATATAGCATTATAACTAACCTATATATTCTTGAAACTAAAAAGAAAATTTTTCAATTAAATAAGAACTCAAATGGTGACAGAATCACTTTCTACTGGATTTCATCTCACATCGGTATCCATGGAAACGAACGTGCCGACTCAGCAGCCAAATTAGTTAGTCTAACTGAAATTTTGATTTATCCACAGATCCCTCCTTTAAACTTTTTCAGTAAATACGATTTTCAGTTCTTCCCTAAGTACTGGTAAATACTAATTTGAAAATTACTTCAGAGGAGGAACAAATCATGGTTTCGTAATCGTAATCCAGCAGAAAAATAACAGTTAAGATAAATCGCATACGCAATTTCCCGTTATACGATAGATAAGAAGAGGAAATGATCCACAAATTTAGCAAAATAAAGCTCTACCCACCAATAAACATCGAAAGCATTGTAGCGGAATCTAGAATAGATGCCTGTCTATGCGTATGATATTTTCTTAATGATTTTAATGTAAATATGTAGCCAAGTTTCCTTTCAAAACAAAACAGTTTTTAATTATTAAGTTTAACAGATGTATATTAACTTAGTCGTTATTGTATGTTTTATAAATGTTGTATCTTTATGGACTATTGGACGACGATCTTAACATCTCAATGTACAACAAAAAAAAAAAAAAAAAAAACATCAAAATACGAAGCGAAGAAACGAAATTAAAACAGACAATTAAAATAAATTTTTTTCAAGATAAGAAATTTTTTACTTGTCATAAGTATGTATAAATTAATTTAATTGTACTTAAAAAACCTCTTGGAAAATTTTACTCTTGTGATTGTGCTGTTTAACTCATGTTCAAGTGAAAATAAGTTATATCATAACTGGATGGCAACATTGTTAGAATATACCAGCATTGGGGGTTTATTTAAGCTCGTTATTTTTATTTATTTTTTATTTTATAAAGATTAATTAAATAATTATTGCGGAGTGTGATTATAAACGGCGGTGTGAGATGTTAACTGTCCAAGTGTGCTTATACGCCCAATTAAGCATCCTACTTTTTGAAAATGATTATCAATAGATAAACGTTTTTATGAACGTCTCTAACTGTCGTCCAACATATTCATTTGTACCAACCTTCCTGAAGTTAGCTTTTGACACCGCGTAGATTCGTAGTTTTTTAATATAGAGGTATTTGATATAAATACATAAATACGTAAAAAAATATAAACTAGAAAAGTGTATACATCAAAAGCAATAACATACCAAACACTGAGTCATTGTCGAGCAGTGTCCTGTTGAGCTCAGTCATGTCGGTCCCATGTGATGTGACGGATGGAGCCTCATAGCGCCTTGGCGGTTTTACTACGGGATTTATGGCCGTTATTAGGGACTTTTCCTGCTCACCAAGTCCATGGTGATCTAGACAAGCTGGCTCGACGATTTTCTCATCACGATTAGAATGCTGTTGTCGGCAGTAGCACAATAGACAGAGAGATAGCGCCATTGCAAGAATAAGAAAGGTGACTATTCCTAGGCCCACGGCGAGTGGCAGGCCAACAAAACCATCATGCCTGTTGGACCCTTCTCCTAGTACTTGAAGCACGATTCCACGCTCTACGCTACCCCCAAAGTTGCGCGCCACGCAAACGTACTCGCCTTTGTCCGGCATCCCAATCTCAGGAATTGTTAAGTTCACCCAGTCTATGTGATGCTTCAAAATGTAACCCCGCTCGCTAGCAGGGCGCTTAGTTGCATTGCTGATGACTCGCTGTCGGTGAACCCATTCAAGCTGCGCTGGTGGACTTGCACTCGCCCGGCACCAGAGAAAAGCGCTTCCAGTGCCAGCGTCCCCATGCTGTCGCGAGCCCACGAGCTCGATCTGGGGCATGCAGGCAAATTCCTCATCACGAATCTCATCCCAGTGCTTGTTGCGCAGGGCTGGAGGCTCGGCACATGACGTTGGTTTTGTGTAAAGGTTACGTTGGAGCGCCCAGTCCCGGAAGGCCTTTATCTGGCAGTCACAGCGCCAGGAGTTGTTGCGCAGCTCGAGACTGCCAAGCTTTGGGAGGTCCTCAAAGCTGCGGTAATTCAGCCGTGTGAGGTTATTGCTGTCAAGAGCAAGGGTCGTCAAGCCTGGTAGATTCTGAAACGAGCGTTGTCCAATCTGGAAAAGGTGGTTCCCTGAGAGCTCAACCTTTTGGAGGTAAATTAGTCCACTAAAGAGCTCATCATCGAGCTTCTGGAGCCGATTGTGGTTGAGAAGAATAACACGCAGGCGCTCGGTTTCATTGAAAGTACCTCGTCGCAGCTGGCGTATGTTGTTGTGCGAGAGATCAATTTCGATTATGATACGCAATCCACTGAACGCTGCAGGCCCGACGACCTTGACTTGACAGTCACGCATCGTGAGCTTTTGAAGGTTGACAAGGCCAACAATAACAAAGGTATTATCAGGCAGGTGAGTTATGGAATTACTCGTTAAATCGAGATGCTGAGTGTCCTTGGACAGACCTTCAGGGATCTTTAGCAAGTCCTGACTTTTGCATTCAGCGGTCCGACGGCCCGACGACCAGATGCACTTGCAAAAAGGCACGCAACCCCATTCATTTTCCCCAGTGGCGTCTGTCCAGCTAACAACCAGACCAAGTAGTAGTACAAGCAGCAGTATTCGTAGCAGAAGTACCGCTATCAGATGAGATGTGCCCGAGTGTACTTGTCTCATTCTCGTCATTTTAGTGCTGCAACAGACAGACAAGTAAATTATAAGTATTATAGGGTGATCTACTATTTAATATATGTAATATTGCCACAAAAATCTCTGAAATTTAAAAAATATTGATTCATCAAATTCTATATTCACGGAAGAAAAACTCTACAAAGACTGTCTCTTTGTTTCTACGCATAAGTTTCTCGATTCGTTCGGTGTGTATTTAGTATTCTTTCACTTCGTAAATTACATGAATAATTTTTACAGGTTACCTCTGTCACCTCTGCGTGGAGGGTGTTAATCCCAATCCTGACTCATAACCCCTATTTTAATCTTCCATGATTCAACTAAACCCATAACCCTGGCACTAAATTTCCCACCAAACACTTTTTGCACTCAACTTTACAGCCATGCTCCTACAATCTTTACACCGACCTTCCAAACTAGCCTGGCACTTCTCACGTGAAGTCTTTTCCGGACAAGAGTGGACAAAAGCGACCCCCAACAATATGCTAAAGTACAATATGTAAGTATGCTTTAGCATTTATATGGGTGTCACTTTTGCTAGCCCTGTTACAACCCTTTGTTTGCCCTGTGGTACAGAGCTAGCCATGGGACTTAAGAACAAGTTGGAACCATATTTATATTTTTGAAAAGTTGACATGATCGCAGTTCGAACCCTCGCCTTACTAGAGTAAACATACCCTAATTTGTCTTCTACCTAACTAAGCTACAGCCACTTCTTATATTGTATGTATATACTAGATATGTTTCGATCCCCTTGCACACTCTGCACACAAATCACACTCACTCACAGTGTGAATCTATTTGAAAATTTAATAGGTTTATCTAAAAGTGATCTATTATAAAAAAAAAAATTAAGAGATTTTTACAGCTCATATAAATACAATTTCACGTGATTTTTCCATAAAATTACATGTTAAATTGCGATTTTTTAGAACTAAACATGTAAAAAAGAGTACAGTAAACGATCTGCCATCTTTTTTTTGGAAATTTTTTATGATATTTCGAATACACGTTTGATGTCTGAATATTATTTGTCAAAGAAACCCATGTGATGACCGTCCTGAAGAAACATTCACAAGCATGTAATACTACCCTAATTAAAAAAGGGGTACTACACGATGATTTTTCTTGACCTTTTAAATACAATTATATTTTGGATATCAAATATAAACTAAGAATAAGTTGTAAGCGTATGTGACATATGTGAGAGTGACGTTAGAGATGTAATTAGCGTAGGCGGTAGGAAGTTGTTTTAAAATCATCAGAAGATTCGATTAAAGCGCACAGTCTTCTACTGACCAGCCTAAATATTGTTTATATTGTATCATGCCGTAATATATTGTTTATGAACTTGATACTTGAATACCCAAGCACCCTCTGTCCATCGGTTTTCTTAATTTTTTTATACAGAATACAACTTGCTTCAGCACTTCAGAGTTTTGTGCCCGTTCAACCATCCAGCCTGGTGCCGTCAGAGAGTTTTTTACTATAAATGAAAGCCAGGGAAGACAGTCCCGAAAAATACGAGTAGCATCTTAATAGTTGTCCCAACGGCAAATTCACAGAGAAGGCATTCCCCAGGCCCACTTTCCTGACTAAAGATCAGTGGTTGGTTATCCGGGAAACGATCCGAAGACAAGATATTCTTGGGTCAGTGACGTACCTCCCTCCATCACGGTCTTTGAATATAGAGACTCTGAGGTTAAGAGTCAAGCTACCCGCAGCTGGCTCTCTATCATCAAGAATAATAATAAGGAATAGCTGGAAGTTTCACCACTGGCCCTTTTAAGGGCTATTAAATTTAAGTATTAACGTTTCCTACTTAACCATTCATCTCATCGATTCTTTTAAGGGCTACCTAAGTTAAAACGACCTGTCCAACAAATACATTTTTATTACTATTTACGGCAAAGATTCGTCAAATAAAAGACCATATAAAGCCGGCCACTATTAAATGAAGTCAGTTATCCACTGGCAGACATTACGAGTAAACTTATTCATCGCAAAGCTGGAAACCCTGGTGTCTGACGATTCTATATTACCCTCTCGAGTCCAAGCATTCAACCAGGAACCACCGATCCTCTTTAAGGTCTGCGCTGGGAGAATCTCACAGCTATGAAGAAAAAATAAAGATAGCGAATGGGACAGTCTCCAACGGGCAAGCATCACGAACCAATCTTCCCACCTTAGATCACCAAAACAACTAAGTCTGCAAAAAAAAGAAGGGGCTTTAGACACCAACGTCTATAACGTAATACCAGGAGACGTTGAAAAAGAGTACTACAAGTAGTTCCAAAGCTTCAGACTTTGTAGTTTTACCCCCAATTACTCTGGCGCTATAACAGCAAGCCAGAAAAGATCACCCTGAGGTATCCAGGCAGTCACAATTGCTGTAAACTTCACTCAAGAAAGAGTTTACTTAAGAAGCTCACCGGTTCTTTTAGAGCCATCAGACGTCAAACTACCTAGACAACAAATATATTAGAACTAATCAAAGTTAACAAAAACAGCTTGTAGGGCTCACAAAAATATTAACCATGCCAAATGTCGCAAAAGGGCGAATTGAAAGAAAAACCTCAAATGCATTCAATGAATACAATTTTAGGCGTCAAGAAACAGACGCAGAAAATCTATCGAGATTGAAACAGTAGCGTCAAAATCGATAAATAAGGAATCTATTGCGTGAGAAATCAGCTTTTCATTGTACCCTCTTAGTCATCTCTTAAATTTTCCAGATTTTTAAGTCCGTAGAATATGTATTAGTATTTTTATGGCGATAAGAAATGTAGAGATTAAGCTCCAGGACTTTGTTGCTCTGGTAATAAAGTTGTGAGATAAAAGAAAAAAATTTTTTTTCAATTATAAATTTTTTGTGAGTTTAAAATCTGAACAGCCTTAAAAAATAGCCTTTTTCGTAGATTATACACGAGAAACTGCAAATTAACGGCCCTTATGGGCCAACAATTATTTTACGGTGTAAGAAACGTACGATACTCTTTAGCATAATTATATTTATTTCGCTTTTGACCTTATAAACTGAATGAATTCTGAACAAAAATGTTTTAAAAAAAAAAAGATTTTTGTTCTGAAAACTGTCAGGAATGAATGTGAAGTTTTCAACTAAAATCGGTTCGCATTACATGTTCACACAACGGGGACAAGGGCCACTAGTGTGTGTCTANTCGCGCAGACATCATGTCCCATGGTCTAGTGGTTACAAAGCCTGACTCGGAAGCTCAAGGATAAAAATTCAAATCCTCATCACAGCAGATCTTTTTTGAAATGAGAATATTTTTAAAATACATTAACATCTATGTACAACAAGATAAACATATCTATGTACATTTAAGTCTTCAAATATATACATATCATATATTTTTCTTCTCTTGAACATAAAAATTCTTTCTGAATAAAGTAAAAATTACTATGTCAAAATAGCAAATTTTAATATGATCTGCTTTTACTATGTAGCATAGTAATTTTTATAATATGGCGAGTATATCTCAGCTTTCCTATAAAATATAGTAATTTTTATTATAGTTGTAACACTTTTTCTGACACCACTTTTCTCAGTGTAGGTATGATGAATTTAGTATGCTGTTTCTAAAATTTATTTTATTTACTTTTATGTAAAACAATATTTTATTAGCTTTTTATTTCCGGTCAGAATAGGCTAGCGTGCATGGGAGTGAGTCATGTTTGGCTTACAGCTACGAGTGGACTTGCAGATGATTTACTTTTTTTCAGATGCACGTTAGTCCTTGCTTTAAGAAAGTTCCAGCAAGAAGAGTTAAGAGGTCGTAGATAGTTTAATTTATAGGTAAGAACCCACTGAATCCAGTGGTGTCTTTATTTATCTCTCTAACCGTGAGAAATTTCGAGATATTTGCTCTTAAAGTTCGCACATTATACACAACCTTTTATGGAGCAACATAAATACATCTTAATTTTCTAACCATAATGTAGGAGTTACATATCAGGATAGTAACTATTTTAAATTAAAAAATCGCAGCTTCCAGATGTTACCTTGCAAAATGTAGGTAACTCTGAAAAATTTGGGATATTCCGTCAATTATACATCAAGTCCTTATGTTCTACTTGTATTAGCATACAGTTTTTACAGTTTCACGTATACATACATCGCACATATACCTGTAGCAGTGATACCAACTGACACAATTATTTTTTGGTTGGTATCAGTGCTCATTGAAGCCCCCTTAAATGTTTTTTAAATCACCATGGGAAAGTCTGAAGGAACAGCAAAAAAAATTGTTAGTAGTTGTTTCAACGACAGTCTACCAACATTACATTAGATTGAAAAATGAAGAATTATTTCTCAAACTTACTGAGCTTATTATTAATATATTTTTAAACCTTACAAATATCGAATAGCAGTATAAATTATACGGAAATTGAGTTGTCATAAAAATTAAAACAAAATTAATCGCCACAAAAAATGACTTTTATGAACTTTATATGATTGATAAAAAGACGTTGGACTTTAAGGAAGTCTGTAAGGATTGTGTTGCTTAAATTGTATAGGGTTTTGTATTGTATTGTAGTGGGAGGGGGGTAGTGGTTTTAAAAATGGCGAAACACGTGAACTTAGTTATTCGGTAGAGCGAACGCAAATGTTTGCATTATATTTTTTTTACTCCATATCTTGGTTCTTGTGTAAAAAAGCGTAAAAAATCTAGTGGTTTTCAAAAATAAAATACGAATAGCAACCCCTTAAGTCATAAAAACCACTAATATTCAACTCATTACAAAAATATTTTTCACTTGGTTTTATTAAAAAATGTTAACTGCAAGCCGAGATATGATAAAAAAAAAAAGAAAAGATTTTTGAAGAAAACATTAAGGGATGGTTTTCTTCTTTCCAAAGTGGATATCAGCACGAATAAAAACATAATTGTCTCTCTCTCTTTTTTTTTTTTTATTTTTTTTATTTACTTTTTTTTTTTTAGTACTACAGAACATCTGAAAACAATCGAAATCGACGCG